GCTGAAAATCTTCCCTCGAAGTCAATTCCGATTGTGCCAAAGGTCAACGCCTTTGACTCGAAGCCTCGGTCTTGACCTTGATCTCGTCTTTTCCCTCTTCACCTTGAGTCAAAGACCTCTCTTCAAGTACATCCAAAGGCCATTCGTCTTTAGTTCCTGCATCCCGCACTCCCATTGTGATCTAGTGATCCGACGACATATGAGGTTGCGACATAGACTTGCTACACTCTGCACTGGCCGCTTCTTCCTTTATTCTACTTCGTGCCTTCACCTTCGAGCATGAATTTTGGCCAACCTCAACCGCACAAGTGAAGGTCTTATAGTCTTCAACTTACTACGTCGAGTAACATCTTTCGAAGCCGAACGTATCATCACTCTCCTTCGCCTCTTCGTAGGTGGTTTCTCAAAATCATTGTCGGGAATGTCAACTTCAACCGAAGGCTACGCAGCTTCGACGTCGTCATCTTTGCTAACAACTTTGATCCCTCCAAGAGCCCCTTCGTCCTCTGATCCGACAAATTCCCTCTCGAGCAAAAATTTCCTGTTTTCCTCCTCTAATCGCGCACCCCCATAGCTCAATGGAAATTAATAAAGAATGACAGCAGATAAATCTGATGTCCCCTTGTCATTCACAATCTTGTCGTTGATGCTCCACAAGATCCGAGCCTAGTGAATTTGCTTCCCCATCACTGCTCGCTCCACGAATTTTTCCTGCCAGGATGCCATGTACGTCGTCAGCGAAGGCCTCAAAATCTACATTAGTGCCATTGCCACATTGCGTTTCAGCAGGTCAATGCAATTCGTCGTCCGCCACCTATTCTTGGTCGATCGAGGCGACGAAAACAATGCTGCAAATGTCTTCTCTTCCCGCATAGTTACTTTCACGCTATGGTGGTCGTACAAGAAATCACCTTCTTGACCAGCGCACGGCCCCAAGACTTGAGCCCATTGCTCCACCGTGCAGCTCTTAGGGCGATCACGAATTTTGATGCCTTCTATTTTGCGCTCCTCATACCACTCCAACACGATCACCGCGCAGATCCAATTTCAACCCAAAGTTAAAAAATCGAGCTTGGCGGTTGTCTTTTCTTCTTGAAATGCTCTTAATCCGAATTCCGGCACTCTCAATGCCTTCAATCTTAGTCCCAAAACTCGCATCATCGATGTGCCCTCAATTACTCACTCGCGATTCTCGCAAAACTCTCAATTTGAAAGTGAACTCTTCCAAAATATTCGCCCGAAACTCCCGTTTCTGCTGTTGGCTCTCTACGCCCTAACCGTCTTGTCAAACTCAAACAAACCGTCTGTGCGACGGCCAAAGTTACTTCCCGCCGGCCCGCTTTTACTAAACCAAAGTTCCTAGGCCCAAAGCCGAGAGTGTTTTGGCCGAAGGCTGAAGGTCAAAGGTCTTCTTCTCTCCTTCCTTCTGTCAATACCAACCACTTCCCACATCCACAACTCGGTAATCCCTAATCCGTTTCAGGAGTTTCTCAAGCTTGTTAGAACGAGAGTGCCGAGATCCATTCATCAAAATTCTTCCTAAATTAATTCGTCATTAATTGACAACGTTACGAGGTATCTACTCTAGCAATTCTCGCCCTATCTAATTTAACTTCCTTGTCTACGAGTAAAGACACCAATTCCGGCAGAGGGGTATCTAACATGGATTCCAACTAATCCTAACTAGTCATATGCTACAAAATACTTTATTTAGTCTATCTCCAATTATTCTCACCATAAAAATGTAAATTTTTATTCATTTACTCCTAAAACTTCATCTTTTAAAAAAAACTTAAAAACTAAGGTACCACAAACATGCACAACTTTGTTGAAAACATTTGAATATATTAATTTTTAAAAAAATATAAAGCTTATAGTACATAAAAATATATAATTACTTTTTTATGATTATCATATTGATTTGATGATATAAGTTTACAAAATCAGTCATAAAATATTACATGCTTTAAAATTTTTTCATATTTAATGATGAGTTGTTTCAGATAATTGTATTATAAAAAAAATTCTTTGATGCAACTTAAATTCAAATATATATATATATATATATAATTATAATATAGAAACATCCAAACCATATCACATGTAAATTTTGCCATTTATAAGCATTTGGATTTTTTTTTCATATTTTTATTATAGTTCAAATTTTGGATAATTTATCTTGGATATAATTTATAGTTAAATTTGATAAAGTTTTTATAATGAATTAAAAACTATAAAAAATTTTGTGTATGAATCAACAAATGGTGTACATAGTTTGTTGCTCTTTCAACAAAGTTTTTTTTTAGTCTAAAGAGACACATACATTTACAAAAATTTTCCACAACATACTTGTTACCCAATTTGTTAGACAAAATTTCTTAATTTACCGCAATTTGGACATTTTCAGATGGTTTTGCTTTTACACAATTCATAAAATTGCACTAAGTTTTGTTTGGATCCGCTGTCTGAAATTTGATCCTAAAATAAATTGTAGAATACTGCGGGATAAAATCTAAAGTAGCGGTGTGTAGCATTTGACAAACTTAAATAAGTTCATAATTTTTATGCATGTTAAGTGAAGGAAAAAACAAATAATTTTGTTCACACAATTTTTAGTAAAAAATAAGCATCAATAACAACGCTTCAAAACTAAAATAGCGATGAGAAAAGAAACCTCAAAGGCAAATAGTTCCTTCTTTTGAATTAAAATATGATCAAATGTTAATAAGGATTTTTACAACAATTATTAAGGAGAATCAAATGACTTGGTGATACAATCTTTAGATATTCAAACATCGACTAATAAAAGTCAGCAAAGAACATTAATTTTCAGTTACAAAAGTGTAATGTTTGTGAATTAGACAGAGTCAATCTCATTAAAATGAAAGATTCATCCACTTTCTAATTTGAATAACACTTGAACGTTTAGAGCATCACTTGGAAAGGAGTAATTGTGAATCTCTGGGTACAAAATTGTAGTAAAAGCTTGCTTGAAAGAGTGATATTTTTAATGATATTAAGCAAAGTTTTGGCAGTATTTATTTTCCAAAATATAGTAAAGTCAAAACACCTGAAGAAATTATGTAGTCAACTTATTTCACATCTACAAACAAGGACATGGAAACGAGATCACCAATAATTTAGATTGAAGTTTTTACAAAAAGGTACTGTGATATGAATGAACATAAAAGAATATGCAAATAAAATTGATTCTTGTGATGAAATAAAAAAAGAATTTTTCTTTTGCAATTAAGATATGATTACGTTTAATCTATGAGTTAAATTAGATCACAAATAATATAAAAAAATTGAGTTGATACATGGATCAAATTTGAATAGCTTGAATCCAATGATAGTATAATTAATAGTCAAGAAAGTTATAACAAGGTTGAAAATCAACAATCTGGATCAAAAAAATTATGCCTCCAAAAACTTAACCATAAATTGTGAAAGCTTTCAATATCAGTCCACATTGTAGAAAAAAATCAAAAAGTATTCTAGTAAAGTAAAAAAGTTCAAAGTGAAACATAATCCATTTATTTTCAAAATCAAAGCAATCTATAAGAAATATAATCTTTATGAAAATATTAAATAAGAAAAATATTTAATATCAATCAAAAAATATATGTAGTGTATAAATCCAAATCTTACATATTTTGAAATTTATATTATCAAATTATGAAGCAAATTTAATATCTACCAACATTATGAACATGCTTGAAAAATGTATTATAAATTAAGTTGATGAAGGAGCATATACGCATTTGCGTTACAACGTAAATAAAATTTATTAAAATTTTTAAGAACTATTACTTATAAATAGAAATTACACTTAAAATAAACACGTTTTTCTTGTTTGACTTTTTTTATGCTTGTGCACACAAATATTTTTAAGATAATAATGTGCAAAAATGAATATTTAAAGACAATCAATAGTACAAAATTGATGTAATATGAATATATACAAAGAAAAAAAAATATCTTTATGTTGCTTGAAATTTCTAATTTTTATTCAATATTATCTTAATTTTTCAAATAATTTTTTTATAATGTTATTCTGGTTTTGCAAAAATTTATAGTAATACGTTGCAGTATTTTCTGTATTGATGCGATATATATATATATATATATACATAAAATGATCAATAATTTTCAATAAACATAAGTAATTGACTTTAGATGCAAATATTTTGTGATAGATTGAAAAATATTTGTTTTATGAATATAAAATATTTAATAATTTGACTCATTATTTTCATTACAAGAGTAATGACAATTATGTACAAATGTACATAGTTTGCAAGGTACAAGAGTTTTTGAAATTTTTTTTCAATTACTTTACCAAATATAGATATTATAATCATAATAAAAATCAATAAATATTCAAAATCATTTGAAAATGTATCCATGTTTTGATTAATTTTAAGAAAATGATGAAATGAAAATTATATCATAAATCTTAAAATACAATAGTTTTGAAGTTAGAGCAATCAATGTAGATTATTTTTTTAATATTTGAAATAAAATTCATTATTGAAAAGTCACATTAAAAGAAAAATTCAAAATTATAAAAACCTCTTCATAAATATTTAATGAAGAAGTATAAACATGGCTGAAATTATTATTTTTTACTTTATGTTCTTCAAAATATAATCTCAATTAAATATCATTTGAAGTATAATTTTGTATAAACTAGTTATATCAGAGTGAAAAATTTGACAAAGATCACTATGAATAAAAAAAATGTATACATAGAGAACATGATGTTCTTTTTGTTCATCAAAGAATTTGTTTAACAAGAATCTCACAAAAGAAACCAATTTGATGTCAAAAATTGATATGCTAAACTGTATTTTACTTCTCTCTAAATTTGATTATTCTCTCTAAATTATTTCTCTCTATTTGATATTCTCTCTCTCCCTCTCTTTCTCTATCTCTCTTATATAAATCTAGAGCGCAGCTAAACTCAAAGTTGTCTTTATCGGAAGCGAAATCCAAAAATGGAAATTTCTGAAATGTATGGGGTCATGCTCTACATAACTAGAGACATCTCGTTCTGTTACAGGTACTGCCACAATGATATCAATTGAACAAATAATGGGAACCAGTATGAAGTTTGCTACTAGCTGAAAAATTACATCTACATGAGTTGGCGAATCTATTGTTGGTAACGAGGTGTCATTGACACAATGAGAACAGATACTTTAATCAAAATGCGAGCTACAATATGTACATGAGTGTGGGGCGTAGCCCATTTCCTCGTTTGCTAATTAGAGTGTCAACTGTTGATAACGTTAGCTTAACCTTTGCCAATCAGATTCTCAGCTTTCAGCCAACACATCCCCAATCTTACCCACCAGCTTACCGTGAAACTCTCAGCGGCTAGATAATGGCCATGTCAGCATTGTGGACCAGAGTCACTCAAAGTGACACCTGGACAGCCTCCAAACTGCCAACACCCCTCCTCGCTCGGATACACAGGTATTTGAGTGAAAGAACTTTCTGGCTATTGCAACACCCGAATAGCAGTGGATAGGCAGCGGTTTGGCTTCGCTTTCTTGGCAGCTTCAACGGGGAATCGATCTCAAAGTCGACACAAAACCTTGGAAGCTGAGTCGAGTGTTGATAATTTAACGACTCCGTTCTTGATTGTTGCTGCTCTCTTGAAGCTGAGTCGAGTGCTGATTCTTCAACGATTCTACCGTCAATTGATGATACTCCTTTGGCCGGTTATGTTTTGTTCATCTTCTGTGAACTTGTTGCTGAGACTCCATAGCTTGAACTTGTCGTGGAGGAGCTTCATAGGGGATTACTTTAGAATGGAAAGTTTAGAGCTAGATACATAGGGATACAATGATTTTGTGCTACATCACCAGACTGTTTGGTTGACTCCAAATCAGCTGTTGCTCTGTGAGCTAGCTCCTTTTAGGGTTTTAGTTTCTTAAAGCATGGAAAGATTTGAGAGAAAGTTTTGATGTACTAGAACTAGATCTATGTCTCTGCCTATCTATGTATCACTCCAAGATTGCTCTCCTAGTTGGAATGATTGCCCTGATTACTACGAGCTATAGCTCTTATGCAATACATTTCTTTCATCAACTTTCTCTACCTCTATTTCTACTAAACCTAATTGCTTTCGAATTTTCTCAAAGCTGGTTCTTCCTAGAGGCTTTGTTAAGATGTCGGCAAGCTGATGAGTGGTACTCACATATTCCAAATTGATTTCATTGGACTGTACCTTCTCACGAATGAAGTGGTGGCGTATCTCGATGTGTTTGGTGCGCCCGTGATATACTGGATTGTGGGAGAGATTCAAACTCCCCTGATTGTCACCATGGATTGTTGTTGCTTGTAGCAAATCCTGTACTTGAATTTCTCCTAGTAGCCTTCTCAACCAGATAGCTTCCTTAGCGCCTTCAGACAACGCCATGTATTCGGATTCTGTCAAAAAAAGTGCAACAGTAGGTTGCTTGCGGCTATTCCAAGTTATGGGTGTGCTTCCTAACATGAAGATGAACCCGGTGGTGGACTTCCTGTCGTAAGAATCAGCCGCCCAGTCGGCATCAGTGAAACCGGTAAGCTTGCTAGTTTCTCCCCTCCGGTACAGCAAGGCTAATCCAGCAGTGCCCTTCAAGTACCGGAACAAATGCTTAACAGCCTGGAGGTGTGGCTCCTGTGGCTTTGACATAAATCGACTAACAACACTTACAGCATAGCATATGTCTGAACGAGTGTGAGACAAAAATATGAGTTTCCCCACCATGCGTTGGAATCGAGTGATGTCAGTGGCGGGGGCTTGCATATCTGGAGCCAACTTGAGCTTCTCAACCATGGGAGTTGAGACAGGTTTGTAGTCTTGGAGTCCAAACTCATGAAGAATCTCCTTAATGTATTGCCTCTGTGTGACTAGAATGCCCTCCGGTTTAAATAGAAATTCAAGTCCTAGACTGTAAGATAGCAATCCCAAGTCTGACATCTCAAATTCTTCTTGAATTTCTGCCCGTATGGAGGAAATGCGCTCAGTGTTGTTGCTAGTAAGATACACGTCGTCGACGTAAAGTATAAGCAATGTGATCTTGCCGTGCTCCTCATGGAAATACAGATATGGTCTGCCTTGGACTTGTGCAGGCCTTGTGATAGCAGGTAGCTGTCCAATTTATTATACCAGGCACGCGGAGCTTGTTTGAGTCCATACAATGCTTTTCTCAGCTTGCATGCATGAGTCGGTGGTGAGCTGGAGAAACCTGGTGGAGGAGACACATATATGTTCTTAGTGATGACGCCGTTGAGGAAAGCTGTTTTTACATCAAGATGGTAGATTGACCAGCCTTGATGTCTTGCTAATGCCACCACGCTGCGGAGGGTTTTCCATTTGACGACAGGAGCAAAAGTCTCGTTGTAATCCTGACCAGCTTGTTGTTGGAAACCTCGTGCAACAAGGCGAGCTTTGAGCTTTGCTGTGGTGCCATCTGCATTTGTCTTCACTCTGAAGACCCATTTTGTGGAAATAACTTTTCAATCAGGAGGTAGTGGAACCAAGCTCCAGGCATCATTTTTGTAAATGTATTCTAACTCTGCTTCCATTGCTGTTTTCCATCCGGGATGGAGTAAAGCTGCTTCTACATAGGCAGGAAGGCAGGTGAGCTCTGAAGACTCCAATATATTAAGATGAAAATCACTTAACCGAGCAGGTGGACGAGAAGCGCGTCCGCTACGAGTTGTGACAACGAATGGATCTGATGAAGGAACATCAATGCTGCTGCTACTTGGTGGAGGCTCGCGACGTCGATAAACGTAGAGCGGGAGCTGGGCCTTAGACGAGGTGTCTGGTTGAAGCGGAATATCTACCATGATATCTCTGACAGGAGAGTTTGAAGGAGCATAACCAAAAATTGGAGCTTTGAGCGGACTCCTTGGTGGTGAGAGTACAGGAGCCGAGCAGTCGGCAGGTGAGCTAGTGGAAGCAACAATGCTGGTTCCTTGGAGAGAGAGCATCGAAGAAGGGTCTGAGTGGTCCGAAGTAGGAACACCGGTGCTTGAACGTTCGAAAGAAGACTCCGGGGCTGCTGGAAAATTTGATATTTGACTCGTGTTGTTGCTGGAGGATGACTCAAGTGGCAAAAGAGACTGTCAGTTGATATTAGCAGATGGTTGCGAAGGTGAGGCAGCACTAGCTTGTACGCATGGAAAGGTAAGTTCATCAAACCTAACATCTTTTGAAACAAAGATTTTGCGTGATGGTCGATGATAGTTTCTGAAACCTTTAGATACAGCATCATATCCAAGGAAAATACATTCAGTAGATCGGGGTGCCCATTTTTTGCGCTTTGGAGAGTTGTTTCGTACGAAGCTCCTGCATCCAAACACACAAAGATGGTCGACAACTGGTACCTTGCCTATCAGGCGCTCGAAGGAAGTGACTCCATTGTTGGCCTTGGTGGAAGTTCTATTTGTCACGTAATTGGCAGTAGCCACAGCTTCAGTCCAAAGGTGATCAGAAATTCCACTTGCAAACGCCATACACCTAGCCTTGTAGGGCAAGGTTCGGTTTTTTCGCTCCGCCACGCCGTTTTGATGCGATGTGTAGGTCTGAGTGAGCTGTCTGATGATGCCAGATTCATCGCAGAATCTTATGAAATCTTGTGAAATGTACTCTCCTCCATTGTCCGATCGTATAGCCTTGATGCGGTGAGAGGTTTGCAACTCAATCATAGACTTGAATTGCTTGAACTTTACTAATGTTTCAGACTTCCTTTTGAGGAAATGTGGTAACACACTTTTTGTTTTTTTGCAGAATTTAAACAATTTTAGAAAACTAGTACCAAAGCAGTGTTTGTAGCTAGAGAAGGGTACGCTAAATAGAGTGGATTGATGAGATCGTCACGAGGGCACAAAGAATCACGTAGTCGGATGTACCAACGCCAACGTCTTCGGCGCCTTCGGCAAAAGCTCCTTTTTGAGGTGTCTCTACTCACGCGCCTCTAGCGTATAAGGAAGCTACGCTTCCGGCGCAGACACCTCAGGAGGAGGTTTTGCTAAAGACGTCAGGAGAAGGGCCCGGACCTCTAAAGGCATCCGACCATGAGTGCGCCTTCGGCGAAGCGCCGCTAGCGCGGAAAGGGAAAACCTTCATAACAATCGGGATACACGGTAGATCCAGTTGGTTGAAGTTGCATTAGAAAGAGCTCGGGACGCTCGTTCTAACGAGTCCAAGAGCGTCGGAGATGGATCAGGAATGGAGAAGTTATGAGCGTCGGAAAACTCGTAGCCGGACATGCGCCGTTCGCGCTAGGGTTCACAGCCGGAAAGGATTCCCGTACGCCCTCGGCGATGCGCCTTCGGCGGAATCACGCGCTCATAGGAGGAAACCAACTCAGAGTCGGAAGCGCTTTGGCGGCTGTTCATGGAAGGAAAGCACCGGTCGGATGTACGCCTCCGACGTGGCGCTGACGGCCGGATGCGCTGGCATGAGTTGCGCTGACGGATATGCGCCGGCAGCAACGGACGAGGCATAAAGGACAAAATAGGCGGTACGACTGCGCGCCGGCGTAATTCGCTCCGGCTGGATGTGCGCCTCCAGCAAGGCGCCGACGGATAATGAACGCACCAGTGGCGACACGCCTCCGGTGAAGGACGGGTTAGGAAAAGACAACAGGGCCGACGTATACCCTGCAGCGGACTCAGGCCGGAAGGTGGCGGCGGCGGGAGAATTCAACGTTTAAGCATGCGAATGCGCGCAATGCGGAGACGTGAATTCGCGCATGCAAAGGGCGAACCGTTAAGCCGTATAGCCGGCTGCGTACGTTGCAACCAGTAAGAACGTTGGACGTTCTTGAAATCGAAGAAGAAAAGACTGCGCTCCAGTCTCATTATCTCATTCTTGACTTTGCGATTTCCAGTTCCAAGATTACGCGCAAGGGCGGAGCGACCTGCAGTGAGAGTAGAGAGTGCGGAGACGAGTTGCGCAAGGATCTTGGCGGACCTTGAAAGAATTGTGAGTAGCGATCTTGAACGAGCGCAGAGAGAGTGAGCAGTCAGTGCTTGAGTGGCCGACGCGCAGTGGCGATTGTGAGAGAGAGAGCGAAAGGGAGAACGTTTGTGTGTGTGCAGGCAACGCAATGTCGAAGGTTCCCCAGCTGCGAGTGTCTCCACTCAGGGTGCCGCAGATCGGTCTACGCGCATTTCAAGATGTGCTGTTGAGGCTGAAGCTCGATTTTCTCCTATGGGGGTGGAATTGGACATGTCCGGAGATGGTGCGCGAGTATCTGCAGGAGAGACACAAGCCTTCTCGCGGATTTCGCCCACACCCAGAGAGATGGGACATTTGCAATTGGGCGCAGGTGTTGGGCAGGTGTGCCGGCGAGGAAGGGGATCTCCTCTTCGAGGCCGATAGCGTGAAGGTGTCCCAGGAGGAAGAAGTCTCTTACAATG